CCTAAACCCTACACCCTACATCCTACACCCCAAACCCCGAACAAAAATTAGTGTACGGGCTCTCCAACCCAACACCGTCTAGAACCGACCTGTGGCCCCAAGAAACAGATACCTGCTTGCTAGAATATCTACGGAACTCCGAAAAAAACTCGCAGGGTTTGGGGGGGCTAGGAGTGGGGCTTAGGGATGTCAGGAATCGCGGTTTGGGGGTTGAAGACCTAAGACCTAAACCCAAAAACCCTGAAACCCTGAAACCCTTGAACCCTGAAACCCCAAAACCCCTGAAACCCTAAAACCCTCATACCCCAAACCCTGAAACCCCAAAACCCTGAAACCCTGAAACCCCAAACCCTAAACCCTAAACCCAAAACCCCAAACCCTAACCTGCCTTCCCTGAGCTCAGGCCGGCGGATCCCTTTTGCGCCTAAGCGGCAGCCTGTCGCCCTTCGGTAAGATCATCTGCAAGGTAGGTTTTAGGGGTTTTAGGGTTTAGGGTTGTAGGGCTCAGGGTTTTCGGGTTTCGGGTCTAGGGTTTTAGGGTTTAGGGTTTTAGGGTTTAGGGCTTTAGGGTTTAGGGTTTTAGGGTTTAGGGTCGAAGGTTTCGGGTTGGGTAAGAGGCTCTGCAGAAGCTATCTTTCGACATCAGCATGTCGGGCCAGATGACAGCCAGATAGCATGTAGCATTTCTGATAGCCACGACGGCCGAACATGCAGAAAAAATTCGGCAAGATCGCCATGCTGCCACTGCCTCCTAAATCGGATACCCTAAAACCTGGTTCGAAAACCCGATGTTTCGGGTGGCTCTAGTTTGCGGCCTGCAAGCAAACATCCGGAAAAGGTGTAAAACAACTCAGACAAGCGGCTCTGAAGGCTCAGTTCAGCAAAGCCAACGGTTAAGACTAAAAGGGTTGACCGGACCCTAAAGAACCCTGCGTCCTTTTAAGCTCTACGGACTTGTATAAGGAAATCACAACAAGCCCAACAAGCTAACGGTAGGTTGCTCGATGTTCAAGTAGAGTTTAGGCTTTAGGCTTCAGGGTTTAGGGGAATTGAAAGTAACGCCTTTCCCTGTGTTGCCCGCGAGCCAGGAATCTCTGCCCGCGGAGAAGCCATGTGAAAAGTGCTTTGCAAGTTCGCCATGGACAAGGGCACCGCTGACTAATTTCGAGCTTCTACCCAGAGAGCCCAGAACCCCTTAAACAAGGAATACATCTGAAATTATGGGGATGAATGTTAGAAGTTAAGGTATATTCCTTTCTTAAGGGGTATTGGGTTCTCTGGGTTCTAGGCAACCGACTCGACATTTCCTGCGGATTTCTAATTTGCCGCCTTGATGCTAAGCTCCGGAAAATGCTTTGATCCTTGCGACAGCTCCTTCTCTTGGCCTTCACAAGTGTCATCAGAGCATCTGCGTATATTACCGGATTTCAATCGTGCTAGAATAAGACGGTATTTCAAACCCTAGGGCCCTAGGACCACCTCCTCTAAGCTGTCCCAACGACCCGGCATTACTTCAACAGCCAGACATCACCATCACTCCACAATATGGTCACTTGTCCCTCTCGACGGACTCTGCCTGTGAGGATATTTCCGTCAACTTCATTCATCACCACATCGTCGTTGAGGTGCTCCAGCGGACTTACCGCTTCCGGCATGTTCCACTGGACATGCCAGATCATGCTGTTCCCGGAAATCTCACCGACACAGCGATTGTCAGCCAAGCGGTACCAACTGCCTTGGAAAGCATCCCAGTATCGGTCGTCTTGAGATGGTTGCATGCTTGCCATCACCCAACCGCATGAACCGAACGCCGCCGGTTTGATGGGGAGCTCATCTTTAAATGTAGGAACGGCCTCGGTCCAGCGTAGCACCGTAAGGAGGGGATCGGTCCACCCCCTAGACCCAGTGCCCTTCGAAGAAATCGCAACTGCAATTGCTAGAGCCTACACCATACGATGATAGGGGTATTTTGCCGTGTACACAGCTGATGACATGGCATCTTGTCATTGACATTACTGGTCTTGCTGCTGCTGATGCTGCTGCTGCAATGGTCTACAGCGTGTGAAACCTTTGTCTTATCAGCCCTGCTGCCTGCTGTTGGGTATCCGACGGTCATTTTGGAGATGCTGTTGTTGTTGTTGCTGCTCATTTGCTACTTAGACTTGGTGTCGGTACGACCTAGGTTGGGCTGGGTCTGGGCATGCCTGGTGGTGCTGGTGCTTCCGACAAACCTATCATAGACCCTCACAGGATTGAGCTCCTGCTTTTTGCTTTTTGGACGGCCGACGTCGCCGTCTACCACTACTACCAGCATAGAGCCGAACGTAGACTGTATTGGACTCGCTTTCATTGCGCGGTGGCAGCGTCATAGTTCTGACACTGCATTATTCACTGAAGAATCGTATGGCATCGTGCTTGGTTCTTTGACTTTCCTATATGTGTTTTGTACCAACATCTTTCTTGCTCATTTCATGATATGGCGCTGTGATGCACTCCATTGCAATATCTTGTAAACTGATGCAATCTGCTGTCTTGATAAGTTCGCACACGCACACACACACACACAC